CGTATACGTTCTCGACTTCGACATTCCCGACTGCAGCGGCGACTCGCAGGAGTTAATCGATCTTGTTCCCCTGCGCTTCGAACACATCCATCGCCGTGACTGGAAGCACCCTGATGGGCGCCCCTGGGTGCCACACCACCCACACCCGCGTGAACTCGCGTTGCATGACCCCGATCCCGACGGCACCTGCAGGGACTGCCACACGCCGACCTCTTCGACGAGCGCGATCGCCGGCCGTGGCCTTGCCGCCATTCGCGAAGCAGAGCGCGACGCACCACCTGAGGAGGGCCTCTCACAGCTGGAGCTGGAAACAGCTACACGAGTCGTCTTCGGCACACCGGAACATCCTCTCCCCGGTCCCGCATCTCAGCATCTCCAAGGCATGCTCCGCGGCGTCGGCGTCGGTACCTTCGACGCCCATGGGAACCCTCGGCCCTACACCGAGAAGAAGGCGGCAGAGATATACGCTCACCGGCGGGATCCGAAGAAACGACTCTCCCCTACAGAAGAGGAGGCATTGGCGCAACGCGAGGCCGAAGAGCTTCGTCAGAAGAGCCTCACCGAGGCACGCGGAACACTCGCCTGGGAGCAGGACGAGGAGAGCGCCTCCAATCAAGGGGGGTGGGGGAGCGCCAGCGGTTGGGGATCGAGCGACACAAGCGGCTGGGGTGCCGCAACAAGCGGTTGGGGCGACGCAACCGGCGGATGGGGCGCCGCACAAGGCGGCGAGACGAGCGGCTGGGGAGCTTTCCGCGAGGACCAAAGGGGGGAAGAGGAAGCAGAACCTGCGCAAGCTGAGGTTGAACCTCCGATTGTCCCTCTCGGACGCCCTCCGCGCCGCCCTGCATTAGGACCTCCGCCCCCTGACATCCCTTCAGGAAGTGACCCCTGGGACACCATCGACTGGGGTAGTGAACCACTCACCCCGCGCCGCACCGTCTACGGACCTGCCCCTGAACCGCGCGAACCGACATTTGTACTCGGCACGATCCCTGGAACTAACATCCCCTACTCCATCATTCGCGACAGAGAGTTTCTCGCCCTCATGCTAACGACGGCGAACGAGGACGAAGAAGAGAATGAGGAAGCAGCTCCCACAGCTGCACCGGCACCTGACGAAGACCCCGCAGCTGCACTTGCGCGCTACATGCGCACCTCCGGATTCCGCGCCGACGACGCCATCTGGCATCAGCGCTTAGGTCACCCTTCGCGCACGACTCTGAAGAACTGCATCGAAGCCGGCGTCTTCGCACCTGGCGCGCTGCTGCGCCCTGATGGCTCCGAAGTGAGAGGAGGAACTCACCCGCGCAGCTGCACCGTCTGCCCCGAAGCCGCGCTGAGTCACCAGCCCTTCCCCCTACTCGAACCAGGGACCAATCGCTACGCCAAGCTGGAGAAGGTTTACAGCGATTTCCTCAACGTAGGTCACTGCGGCATCAACGACGAGCTTTACACACTCACCTTCGTCGACGCCGGAACGCGCCACGTATGGGTCGTCAACGTGGAAGCACGCAGCAGAGCCTACGAAGCATTCCGCCTGTGGCTGGCACACGCGCAGCGGCAATCTGGGGAGAAATTGAAAATCTGGCAGTCCGATGGCGCAGCGGAGTTCAGGAGCAAGGAGCTGCAGGATTTCCTCACGCAAAAGGGGATCGAGCATCACATCTCTCTCCCCTACGCGCATCAGCAGCAGGGCGTAGCAGAACGCACGAATCGCACTCTCATGACGAAGGTGCGGGCGCTAATGCGACAGGCGAAGCTCCCGCCGATCTACTGGACCTACGCGATGCATCACGCTGTGCGGGTGCACAACCTGCTGTCAACCACCGCAATCACCGGCAACTCCTCACCGCATGTGAAATGGACGGGAAGAAAGGGAGACAACTCCATGCTTCGTGTCTGGGGGTGCATGGTTCAATATCGACCGCCGACGTCAACCATCGGGAAGTTCAAGAGCCGCGCGCGCTGGGGAATCCATCTCGGCATCAGTCACGAGCACAAGGCATGGATCATCCTGGATCCCCTAAGCCAGAAAATCAAAAATGCGCGCGACGTTATCTTCTACGAGCGGCTGTTTTTGCAGCAATTCCGTGAGGACGAGCAGACTAACGCAAACCGCGTCTACGCCAACGAGGGCCACAGCTACGCTTCACCTGAGGACGAAGCTGCAGCGGCAATTCTGGAGCAGGATCCCAGAGGGGAGTTCACAAGGGGCGATCGCCGCGACGACGACGACGACGACGATGATTCAGGAGAAGGAGGAGCGGGCGCAACAGGAGGCGCAGCAGGAGGAAGCGGAAGCGGCGGAAATGCAGCACCACCAGCACCGCCTGAACCAGAAAGCGATGATGACGACGTGCAGGAAGTTGTCACCCAACATCGCCATGACAGCACCATCACTGGCCTTCAACTCCTGGGACTGCACGCTGCCGTCTCCACTGCTCCGCGCATCATCGAGCCTAAGAACCCACGACAAGCTCTGACAGGCCCACACAGCAAGGTTTGGCGCGAGGCAATGGATGCGGAGATTCGGGCGCTTGAGTCGCGCGACACTTGGGTGCTCGTCGACCGTGCAGCAGTGAAGGGCAGAAGGATCCTCTCCGGCAAATGGGTCTTCCGCGTGAAGACGGGAGCTGACGGAACGATTGAGCGATTCAAGGCGCGCTGGGTGGTGCGCGGCTACGATCAGAGGCACGGGATTGATTTCGACCAGACGTTTGCGCCGGTTAGTCGTCACACTTCTATCAGAATTCTGCTCGCCATCGCAGCCGCACGCCACCTACCACTTCGGCAGATCGATGTGAAGAATGCCTTCCTGTACGCGCTAGTGGACGCTGTGATCTACGTGGAGCAGCCACATACATACGGCGACGGGGACCCACGCGTTTGTCAGCTGCGCAAGTCCCTCTACGGGATCAAACAGGCACCAAGGCTCTGGCAGCAGTACCTGCACAACATACTGCTTGAAATCGGGTTCAAGCAGTTGCCTCACGATCCTGGGATGTATCGCCGTGATTTCCGCGGGGAATACATCCTCCTCACGGTCTACGTCGACGACCTTCTCTACACAGGCTCAAGCAACGAACTACTCCAGCAGTTTGAGAAAAGCCTCGCAGGACGCGTCGACATCACCTGCAACCATGACGTGAAGCAGTTTCTCGGGCTCAACATCACTTACTCGCCGGAAGCCATTCATCTCTCAGCAGCGAAGTATGCGGAGGAGCTTAGCAAGCGCTTCAACATTGCGCCTGCACCACTCTCCACCCCTTACCGCACTCCAGGACCCAACCACAAGCCTGACGACAAAGCCCTGTCCCCTGCTGGGCTTCACACTTACCAGCAGCAGTTGGGGTGCCTGCTCTTCGCATCAGTCACCTGCAGGCCCGACCTCTCCTACATCGCAAGCCAGTTGGCTCAGTACTCACGCAAACCAACGGCTGAGAACCACTCAGATCTTCAGCGAGCCCTTCAATTTTTCATCTCCACGCCAAATGTCGGGCTCAGCTACTCCACCATCCCAACCGCATCCTTCAGCCTCGTCGGCTACGTGGATGCTGATCACGCCGCTGATCCTGACAATCGACGGTCTAGGACAGGGTTCCTCTTCCGCCTCGAGCCCAGCGGCCCCATCTCCTGGAACTCTCAGAAGCAGGAGTTGGTTGCCCTATCATCGGCGGAAGCTGAATTTATCGCAGCAACAGCAGCAGTTCGCGAAGGCCTCTACCTTCAGGAGCTACTGCAGGAAGCGAAAATTCCGGCCTCAACGAACTTTTGCCTGCACTGCGACAATCAGAGCGCGATCAGGATCGCAAACAAACCTGGCTTCGTCAACCGCACCAAGCACATCGCACTGCGGTACTTCTTCGTCAAGGACGAAGTTGACAAGGGCAAGGTTGACCTGACATACTGCCCAACGGGTGACATGGCAGCAGACTTCCTCACGAAGAAGTTGCCGCGTCAGCAGTACCAGCACTGCTCCGAACTCAGCGGGGTAGTCAAGCGGGTCAATGCTCGCTACGGCCAGGAGTGAAGGGGGGTGTTACGAATAGTGGTTAGTGAAAATACTATTGATCACTCCTCACCGTAGCAAAGTCGAAGCACGCAGTATCGAGAGTGAAGACGAAAAGGCAGAAGTAATGCGAAGGGACAGACGGTTACGAGGAGCATCTGGACCGTCGGGCAGACAACATCAGGCAGCAGCAGTGGCGAGGATTCTGCCCGAACAGTTACATAACCACTCGGAGTCGCACGGTTGGATTTCGCTGTAATAAGGGAATGTACCCCTTAGAGTACATGGCTAGCTAGGTCGTTTCGTATTCCCCTGTACTCTTATTTATATTCCTTGTACTGCATGTTTTTATTATCTCAAGCATTTACATTCACTCTGCTATTGAGGTCAAGGGCCCACCACCACTAGATTAGAAGTGTGCGAACCTTCCTGAGGTGATCCTGGTTACGATCAACTTCTGATCGCAGCAAGTTTAACTCAACCTAGCCTAACAGTGTAAACCTACTAACATATAAGCGTACATTGACATGCTTATGTCAAGTGAGTCTTGGATAAGGGGTTGGGTGACAAGGTTTTTTAAGGTGCGATCTGCACCAAATTGATGCGTGCGTTGACAAGCTCGAAGATTAAAGTGTCCTTTTCTGCAAAGCCACTATAAACGCGAGATAGCTTGATGAAACTTCGCGCCAAAATCACAATATTAGATAACTGGCTTTCGCATAACAAAAATGACAATAGTGAGACTACGAAGCTAGATTTTACAAATATCGAGTAGAATTGCAAACGACTTTATAATGCAGTCCCTCTAATCGCAAGTCTCTCAGAAGGGCTTGCACAAGCAGCTGACACTTTACCCGCACTCCCACGATAGCAGCACCTCCGCGCATCCACGCACGACCAGCCAGCCACATGACGGGCAGTGCATGCACTAGGCAGGCACATCACTACTGCGGCCACAACACTGGGAGCCAACAGCGATTCAGCGCGCCAGATGAAGCGGCGCAGGCGAGAGTCCGATGAGGAAGGAGAAGCTGCAGTGCCACGAGTGGCGCTCCACGATGGCGCGTCGCACGAATCACCTCGCACTACTAGAAGCGCTCAGCCGCGTCGAAATCAGCTCGCCAGCGTCGGTGACGCGTCACCATGCGAGCGCGAGGTGTGGCGAGGGCAAGCGCCGGCAGGCAACCAGGCCGCCCGTACCTCGCCGTGCGTCCATTCCCCCGCGCGGTCGCCCAAGGCTCGGCGGCCCGAGCAGGCCCAGCGGCGGGCGGGGCAGCGGGGTCGTGACGACGACGGCGCTGCCGCCACAGCAGCGCGCGCGGTCATAGCGGCGGGTGGCGCGGAACCCCTCGGCAGTGGCGACGACTGCCGCGGTTGCGACTCGGATGCCGCGCGGCAGGCGGACGGGCAGGCGCCGCACCCTGATGCGGCGCGTGGCGGCGCGTGCGCGTGTCGGTTCTGCAGCTGGCGGTTCGACTCGGACGACGAGTCGGACTGCGCGCGCCCCTGCACCGCGCGGGACTCGCCGCGCTTCCGCCCGCAACCCGTGCAGGGCGGGTGGCAGGGGGCTGCGGAAACAGGCGTGCGGGGAGCGGCGCTGGGGGGAGCAGAGTTGGGGGGAACGGCGGTGGGGGGGAAGAAGGGTGAGAGTGGCGGAGGGAGGGCGGAGGGCGAGGGAACACATGGCCGATGCGGAGAAGAGGAGCCGTCTCGCGACATGGGCGGAAGCGGAATTTACCCCGCGGGGCGATTCGTGGGGAGCGACGGCGAGTGTGTGGTGCTGGCAGGTTGGGACGGGTGCTGCGTGTTGCTGGACTCGAGCACTCTGCAGGTACTGGGCGGGCGGGCGGGTGGTAACAAGGCGGGCTGGCAGAGGGGCGGGGAGGTAGTAGAGGTGGAAGGGCAATGCCCGTGATGCACTACCACCACCATTCCACGTTGGAACACCCCGCTCTCATCCCCCTCTCTCTCATCTGTCCACTCTCCTCTCACTCTCTGTCCTCGAATGGTATTTCATATTAATAGCAGCATAACAACAAAGCATCATCTCAGACGGTAACAAGGCAACGCTACTTTAAACAAAGGAAACCACACCCCTTCACAACCCGCGTCACCACCATCAGCAGCGCGCATCGTTCCGCCCACCAGCAGCGGTGCGGCTGTGCGACCTGGCAGGGTGCCTGCTGCTCGCCACCTCTCCAACTCAACTCTCCCCTTTCCCCCCTTCCCCCGCCACCCCTGTCACCACCTTCAGCAGCGGGCATCGTTCCGACCACCCCCAGGCCTGCAGCTGGGGTGGCCAGCAGCGTGTCACGTGGTGGCGGTGCCGTCACACGATGGGCTCACAGCGCGCCTGCTGCTCGCCACCTCGCGCTCGCACGCCGCCTTCTGCTGCTGGGACCTCCTCTCCTCCCGCCTCGTCTCCTGCTTCCCCTCTCCTGTTCCCTCCGCCTCGCCCTCACCTTCACCTGTGTCCTCCCCCGCGTCTTCGCCCCCGAGCGGTCGCACTCCCTGTGACACATACGGTGCTGCAGCGGATGATAGCGCAGCTGCCACTCCCGCCACTGCCATCCACATGCGTGGTGAACCCTCGGCATCACTTCTTCCAGCACCATCAGCAGCAGCAGGTGCAGCCACTGACTGCCACCCACTCGCGGCCGCCTCGCCTCCCTCGGCCTCGCCCTGCTCGGCCTCCCGCCCCTCGCCGGTGTGCCACACACCACTCGCCTGCTGCCCCCCCTCCCCCCATCAGCCTCCGATGCACTACTCACCCTGCCCCAGCCACTCCCCACCCCATGCCACTTCACCACCTCCCCATACACCCCTCCCCCCTGTTCCCCCCGTCCTTCCTGCCTCCCCTGCCCCCGCTGCTTCCACAGCGGCTGCTGCGCATCAGCCAGCAGGTACACAAGGCACGGCCACAGCAGCAGCAGGGGGGGCTATGCGCGCACCTCAGGCAGGGCTCTCGCCCACGCGCTCACCTCCCTTGCCTGCTCCCCCTCGTCATGCCTGCACGCCAGCACCCGTACCTCCGCGTGGCAACACGTTATTGGCCCATCCAGCTGCAGCAGGGCACGGATGTAGCAGGGTGGCGTCAGGGCATGGGGCACTGCCGCTGGCAGGCCGCACGGCCCTCGCAGGCAGTGCGGTGGAGCGGGGCAGCACGGGGTGTGCAGGTGCAGGCGAGCATGCGCAGAGGTGCACAGCAGAGGAGAGCAGTGCTGAGTTGCAGCACTCACGCGCGGCACACTACTGCTGCCCACCCCAACCTGCACACATGCACGACCTCCTCACACAACAGCAATCCGCTGCTGCACCGGCTGGCAAAGTGCCGCTCACTCCACCCGCCTCTGAAACCCCCTCCCAAGCACCAAGCACATCGCACTGCGGTACTTCTTCGTCAAGGACGAAGTTGACAAGGGCAAGGTTGACCTGACATACTGCCCAACGGGTGACATGGCAGCAGACTTCCTCACGAAGAAGTTGCCGCGTCAGCAGTACCAGCACTGCTCCGAACTCAGCGGGGTAGTCAAGCGGGTCAATGCTCGCTACGGCCAGGAGTGAAGGGGGGTGTTACGAATAGTGGTTAGTGAAAATACTATTGATCACTCCTCACCGTAGCAAAGTCGAAGCACGCAGTATCGAGAGTGAAGACGAAAAGGCAGAAGTAATGCGAAGGGACAGACGGTTACGAGGAGCATCTGGACCGTCGGGCAGACAACATCAGGCAGCAGCAGTGGCGAGGATTCTGCCCGAACAGTTACATAACCACTCGGAGTCGCACGGTTGGATTTCGCTGTAATAAGGGAATGTACCCCTTAGAGTACATGGCTAGCTAGGTCGTTTCGTATTCCCCTGTACTCTTATTTATATTCCTTGTACTGCATGTTTTTATTATCTCAAGCATTTACATTCACTCTGCTATTGAGGTCAAGGGCCCACCACCACTAGATTAGAAGTGTGCGAACCTTCCTGAGGTGATCCTGGTTACGATCAACTTCTGATCGCAGCAAGTTTAACTCAACCTAGCCTAACAGTGTAAACCTACTAACATATAAGCGTACATTGACATGCTTATGTCAAGTGAGTCTTGGATAAGGGGTTGGGTGACAAGGTTTTTTAAGGTGCGATCTGCACCAAATTGATGCGTGCGTTGACAAGCTCGAAGATTAAAGTGTCCTTTTCTGCAAAGCCACTATAAACGCGAGATAGCTTGATGAAACTTCGCGCCAAAATCACAATATTAGATAACTGGCTTTCGCATAACAAAAATGACAATAGTGAGACTACGAAGCTAGATTTTACAAATATCGAGTAGAATTGCAAACGACTTTATAATGCAGTCCCTCTAATCGCAAGTCTCTCAGAAGGGCTTGCACAAGCAGCTGACACTTTACCCGCACTCCCACGATAGCAGCACCTCCGCGCATCCACGCACGACCAGCCAGCCACATGACGGGCAGTGCATGCACTAGGCAGGCACATCACTACTGCGGCCACAACACTGGGAGCCAACAGCGATTCAGCGCGCCAGATGAAGCGGCGCAGGCGAGAGTCCGATGAGGAAGGAGAAGCTGCAGTGCCACGAGTGGCGCTCCACGATGGCGCGTCGCACGAATCACCTCGCACTACTAGAAGCGCTCAGCCGCGTCGAAATCAGCTCGCCAGCGTCGGTGACGCGTCACCATGCGAGCGCGAGGTGTGGCGAGGGCAAGCGCCGGCAGGCAACCAGGCCGCCCGTACCTCGCCGTGCGTCCATTCCCCCGCGCGGTCGCCCAAGGCTCGGCGGCCCGAGCAGGCCCAGCGGCGGGCGGGGCAGCGGGGTCGTGACGACGACGGCGCTGCCGCCACAGCAGCGCGCGCGGTCATAGCGGCGGGTGGCGCGGAACCCCTCGGCAGTGGCGACGACTGCCGCGGTTGCGACTCGGATGCCGCGCGGCAGGCGGACGGGCAGGCGCCGCACCCTGATGCGGCGCGTGGCGGCGCGTGCGCGTGTCGGTTCTGCAGCTGGCGGTTCGACTCGGACGACGAGTCGGACTGCGCGCGCCCCTGCACCGCGCGGGACTCGCCGCGCTTCCGCCCGCAACCCGTGCAGGGCGGGTGGCAGGGGGCTGCGGAAACAGGCGTGCGGGGAGCGGCGCTGGGGGGAGCAGAGTTGGGGGGAACGGCGGTGGGGGGGAAGAAGGGTGAGAGTGGCGGAGGGAGGGCGGAGGGCGAGGGAACACATGGCCGATGCGGAGAAGAGGAGCCGTCTCGCGACATGGGCGGAAGCGGAATTTACCCCGCGGGGCGATTCGTGGGGAGCGACGGCGAGTGTGTGGTGCTGGCAGGTTGGGACGGGTGCTGCGTGTTGCTGGACTCGAGCACTCTGCAGGTACTGGGCGGGCGGGCGGGTGGTAACAAGGCGGGCTGGCAGAGGGGCGGGGAGGTAGTAGAGGTGGAAGGGCAATGCCCGTGATGCACTACCACCACCATTCCACGTTGGAACACCCCGCTCTCATCCCCCTCTCTCTCATCTGTCCACTCTCCTCTCACTCTCTGTCCTCGAATGGTATTTCATATTAATAGCAGCATAACAACAAAGCATCATCTCAGACGGTAACAAGGCAACGCTACTTTAAACAAAGGAAACCACACCCCTTCACAACCCGCGTCACCACCATCAGCAGCGCGCATCGTTCCGCCCACCAGCAGCGGTGCGGCTGTGCGACCTGGCAGGGTGCCTGCTGCTCGCCACCTCTCCAACTCAACTCTCCCCTTTCCCCCCTTCCCCCGCCACCCCTGTCACCACCTTCAGCAGCGGGCATCGTTCCGACCACCCCCAGGCCTGCAGCTGGGGTGGCCAGCAGCGTGTCACGTGGTGGCGGTGCCGTCACACGATGGGCTCACAGCGCGCCTGCTGCTCGCCACCTCGCGCTCGCACGCCGCCTTCTGCTGCTGGGACCTCCTCTCCTCCCGCCTCGTCTCCTGCTTCCCCTCTCCTGTTCCCTCCGCCTCGCCCTCACCTTCACCTGTGTCCTCCCCCGCGTCTTCGCCCCCGAGCGGTCGCACTCCCTGTGACACATACGGTGCTGCAGCGGATGATAGCGCAGCTGCCACTCCCGCCACTGCCATCCACATGCGTGGTGAACCCTCGGCATCACTTCTTCCAGCACCATCAGCAGCAGCAGGTGCAGCCACTGACTGCCACCCACTCGCGGCCGCCTCGCCTCCCTCGGCCTCGCCCTGCTCGGCCTCCCGCCCCTCGCCGGTGTGCCACACACCACTCGCCTGCTGCCCCCCCTCCCCCCATCAGCCTCCGATGCACTACTCACCCTGCCCCAGCCACTCCCCACCCCATGCCACTTCACCACCTCCCCATACACCCCTCCCCCCTGTTCCCCCCGTCCTTCCTGCCTCCCCTGCCCCCGCTGCTTCCACAGCGGCTGCTGCGCATCAGCCAGCAGGTACACAAGGCACGGCCACAGCAGCAGCAGGGGGGGCTATGCGCGCACCTCAGGCAGGGCTCTCGCCCACGCGCTCACCTCCCTTGCCTGCTCCCCCTCGTCATGCCTGCACGCCAGCACCCGTACCTCCGCGTGGCAACACGTTATTGGCCCATCCAGCTGCAGCAGGGCACGGATGTAGCAGGGTGGCGTCAGGGCATGGGGCACTGCCGCTGGCAGGCCGCACGGCCCTCGCAGGCAGTGCGGTGGAGCGGGGCAGCACGGGGTGTGCAGGTGCAGGCGAGCATGCGCAGAGGTGCACAGCAGAGGAGAGCAGTGCTGAGTTGCAGCACTCACGCGCGGCACACTACTGCTGCCCACCCCAACCTGCACACATGCACGACCTCCTCACACAACAGCAATCCGCTGCTGCACCGGCTGGCAAAGTGCCGCTCACTCCACCCGCCTCTGAAACCCCCTCCCTCACTCCGCCAACCCCCCAACCCGCCTCCCTCCCCGCCCCATCCCCACACCCATCCCCGCTCCCCTCCCCGCCGAACCCACCCGCCCACCCTCCGCCGCCCGCGCCGCCATCCTGGAAGCACCTCGCGCCGCCCGAGTGGCACGCCGCCCCGTGCGGTGCATCTCTGGCGATGGTGCAGGCGGGCGGCAGCGACGTGCGCATCTGGGACGTGCGGGACGGCGGCGTGGCGGTGAGCATGCAGACGGAGGGCGCGGTGGAGCGCATGGCGTGCTGCTCTCCTATTCTATGGCTGGACGAGGAGCGGCTGGTGGTGGTGGAGGAGGGCGGCAGTGTGGGGCTGTGGCACGTGGCGGGCGGCGAGGCGGTGCTGTTCCACCACGTGCAGCTCATGGACCAGTGGGGCGAGGCTGAGCGCGTCTGTGCCGTTGCTGTCATGCCGGGGCGGCGCTGCAACAAGCGCCTCTTCCCCTCGCTGTCAGTGCTGCTGCTTGCGCTGTCACTGCTGCATCCATCGCTGCTCCGCATCCCGTTGTCGTTTTTCTCACTGTGTTCCCTCCCTGCTGCCATGCTCTCCTATCGGCGTGCCTGCCTCGCGGTGTGACTGTGGCATGGCGGCACGGCATGGCAGGAGGGGAGAGGGAGTGACATGTGCGGTGGCATCAGAGAGCGCCATCTACCTGGCGGACTGGAGCACCCCGGCGGTCATCCTCCACCGCATCCCCTCCTCCCATGCCCGCCCACCAGGTCTATCCCTCTCCTTCCCTTGCCGTGCCTCCCATGCTGCACATGCATGGATGCTGCACGTGTATGTATGCTGCACATGTATGGACTGTGTATGTGCATGTACGCTGTGCATGCAAGGATTTTGCACATTGATGGATGCTGCACATGCATTGGCTACAGCACCTTGAGCCATCTGCTCGCCCCTTGCCCATCAGAGACCTGCCATTCTCCACCCCCGCCCTCCACTCATCCCTGTCCCCACTCGTCGCCATCTGCTCACCTTTCCGTCTCCCCCCCGTTCCCTCCGCCAGATGCCATGTGTTTCGCGGGCACGTCTCTCTTTGTGGCGCTGCCCTCGCTGCCACATGAAGACTTTGCCGTCGTGCAGGTGAGTGCAGGTGGGTGAGAAGATGATAGCACGTGGGCCAACTCCTTCCGCCACTGCAATTAGCATTTTGTATCTCTGCTCCCCTCCACTGTCCCTCCCCACTCTCCCTCCCACCCCCTGCCCTCACCCCTCAGCGCATAGAGTGCAGCACGGGGCGGGAGGGCGAGCGGTACCACCTGGACGCGCACGTGCCGCGCGCCAGCAGAGGCCCGCTGCTCGCCGTGCGTGTGCACGCCGGGCGGCTGTTTGCGCTGCATGCGGGCGGCGTGCACGTGTTCCGCCTGCCCCGGGCGGCACAGCGGGGCGGAGGAGCGGGGGCAGGAAGGTGCACGGGGCGGGATTATCTGCAGCAAAGGGCAGGGCAGGGGAGGAGAGGTAGAGAGAGGTGTGGGAATGCAATGGCGGGAGTGGCAGCAGCGGACACGCAAGCCCCTGTGTGGAGTGCGGGTGAGTGCGGTGCGGCGGTGAGGAGGAGAGAGAGCGGAGGGGCAGAGCATGCAGCAGCAGTGGTGCTCCATCCCCAGGCATGGCGCAGCGGTGCGGGTGAGGGGTCTGATGAGGGCAGTGAGGGGGAGCAGGGGGAAGAGATGGGTCACGGAAGAGAGGAGGGGTATGAAACGGAGGAGGACGTGGATGGGCGGGGGGTTGAGGGGCGTCAGGACGGCATTGCGACGGCCTTGGAGTGCAGCGGTGGCGACGGTGGTGGAGTGGGCAGTGGGAGGTGCGGAGGGGAGACAGCGGAGGAGCGGAGGCTGGTGGGGGTGGTGGGCAGGCGGGTGAATGGGCTGCTGCACCCAGCCATGGATGTGGTTGGGGATAGGCTGCTGCTCGTCTCTGCTAACCATCCGCCATGCCTCTATTCCTGTCCCTGATTGTTTTTTGTATTTATTGTTTCCCATCAATCACCAACACTCCCAAATTTTCAAACAGAACCAATGTGACATGGGTCTGCGGGGAATGGTGGTGGGGTGCCGTATTACCGTAACAAAACACAGGCACGGTATTACCGGTACCGTACCTTCAAAACATCCACCTACAGGTCCCGGAAACAACGCCTGGCAGGTAGCATCTGTATTATTCGGCACATCCGTTTCACGCTACTCACTGTGCATGCAAGAAATAGCCAAGCCTCGGCACGGCAAGCAATTCTTTGCAGAGAAGGCAATAAAAATGGTCTCTGTATCAGTAGCAACTAACCAACTCTTGTCTAGCCAATATAGAAAAAACTAGTAATCAATTCAAACCTACATGTTACCTACAACATCCAGCTCCAGCCCATACATGTTGTAGAGGCCACGAGGCTGTACCATGCCTTCACTGTCAAGCAAGCGCATGAAGTTCCTCACACCCAAGTAGCGCAGCATCCTCAGCTCTGTCAAATCCTCTGGCAGGGTTATCAAATGCGCACAACCTTTCAGATTGAGTCGTCTTAGTCTGGCCAGTCTAGCGAATCCGAAAGGAAGGGAGAAAATGGAAGTTCGAGAAGCATCTAGCTCCTGGAGGCATGTGAGATGGGTGAGGGAAGAAGGCAGCTGCTGCAAGGCCCTGCAACCAGACACATCGAGCTTGCGCAGCCGAGTCAATGCACTGATGTCAGCAGGGAGAGACACCAGCCTGGATCCTATAATCTCCAACGACGTCAAACACTGCAGCTCACACACGCTTGCCGGAAGCTCTCTCAAAGATATAATTTCAACTGCCAGCCTCCTCAGTTGCGGCAAGGACGATCCAATGCATTCGGGAAGCCTTGTCAGATCTGCATAAACATTGGGAGCCTTGGGACATCCCAAAACAAGCAGGGTGTGGAGGTGTGGGAGGACAGGAAAGGGTGAGGGGAGATCCTCAGCATCACCCGCTAGTTCCATCGTCAGTCGCCTCAGTCGAGATGCTCCCATGGCAACTGGCAGGCTGCTTCCAGCACCAACATTTCTGAGCTTGAGATTCCTCAGGTGTGGCATTTCGGGCATGTCGAAGCGAGGAGCAAGCTGGCTGTAACTCGGCATGGCTAAAATCACCAGAGAATGGGGGAGGGATGCAGGAGGTTCAGCCAGCCTTCCGCAACGAATCAGCTCCAGCCGCTTCAGTCTCGTGAGGCCATCCAACCTTGGAATTGAAGAGAGCCGTTCACAGCCGTCAATCCTTAGGATCTCCAGTGCAGTGAGGCGCGAGAAGGAGTCTGGAAGCACCGTCAAATTGGTGCAGGAGCACAAGTGCAGGTGCTGCAAGCTATTCAGCATCCATATCTCCTCAGGAAGCTCTGCAAACTCAAAGTGCTTGAGCTCAAGCCTTGTCAAGGCAGAGAGTTGCGTGAAGGAAGATGGGAGCAGCCGCTGCGCCTCGCAATTCCCTTCCAGAAGAAGGGTTTTCAGATTACTGAGACTTCCGATGTCGTCTGGATACATCAACACCCGCGACTGTCCAAGGTACAGTGTCTCCAGAGCAGCAAGGCAGCTAAATTCGTCTGGTAGCTGGTGGATCCGGTGGCAATTGAGGAGCGAGAAGAATTGCAGGGAGGTGAGCTGGCAGAGGGAGTCAGGGAGGTATCTTAGAGGCAACGAGTTCAGCTCCAACTGCTTGAGCACCGACAACGCTCCGAAGTTGCTTGGAAGCCTAGAAAGCACATTGCACGAAGAGATGCGCACTTTCTCTAGCCGTCTGAGGGAGGTCAATTCATCTGGCAGCTCAATCAAGTGCCGGCAAAAGGAAAGCTCCAACTCCCGCAGACACGGCATCAGCTCTCCAATGTCAAGGGGGAGACGCTCGATACGATTATCAGAGGCAATTTCCAGCCGTTGGAGATTGGTGCCTGGTGTGCCTAAAGGGAACAAATCGTAGAATGCATGGCCGTGGCCATTGACTTCCAATGACCTCAGAGAAGGTAGCTGTAGCAATGGGGAAGAAGCAGAGACGGCATCATGCTGAAACAGAATGGTCTGGGGAGATATTGAAAGACTGTTGAGGTTTGAGAGGTGACGGAGGCCTAAGAACTGCTCAGGACTGAGGTACGGGGAGGCTATGTGGAGGGTGGAGAGCGAACTGAGATTGGCTAAACCGGGATCCTCTAGAGCAGATGCGACTGTGATGACGAGGGTGCGCAGATGAGTTAGTAGGAAGAAGGAAGGTGGCATGTTGACATCGTGGTGCAGGCAGAAGAGCGAAAGCTGCTCCAGTCGTGTACACTGGAAAAAGAACCAATCCAGGCCGGCTTCAGTTATTGGATGCGAATCCTTTGCAACTTGGATGCTCTCGTCATCACTACGAAATAGGTTGATCCTGGTTCCTACGTGAAGAACCATGAGCTTAGGGCAAGCGGAGGCGAGGTGAGCGAGAAAGGCGTCGTCTACCATCTCCACGCTGCCGTCGCTCAGATGCAGATGAGTCAAATTCGGGAAGCGAGTGATGGCGTTCGCGAGATCTTGGCGGGAAGCAAGTACATCCTCTCGGACAGAAAGGCTGGCGACATGGCGCCGAGCGAGTTCGCGCCAGTCAGGGCAGACGGAAGCTACAATAAGATTCCATGCGGTGTCCGCGGAAGCAGGAGGCGCTGGTATGGGACTGATGCTTCTCACAAGTGATAAACCGTAGAACCATAGGCTTGGACTCAAGCACTCATAAGCGTCATCCTCAAAATCGCCAGATATGGGCTCGTTGGAGTGCCATAAAATCTTGACAAGGAGGTAAGTCGGAAGAGAGTTTATATCCGTGGAATTCATATTGCGAGATTGAGCTGTTGGTACTAAGCTGGACGCCAATTTCTAAGGATGAAAGGAAAGTAGCAGCTCGAGATTCAAGAAGAGATGAAGATCGAGAGGTACTTATACAACGGAGGTGTGGTAAGTTCGACTACTCTAACCTTCCCGTCTCCATGTAGGAGCCTCTAAACTGTGATCCTAGTTTGAAGATCCCTAGGTGTGCTAGCTCGCTAAATCGCTAGGTGAGTCCCTCCCCCTCGTTGATGGCTCGGAAAACCAACTCTCGGGTTCTGCCGAAGTGAATTTTGGGACGAGTCTGACGAAAATACCAGCAAGGTTACCACACGCAACAAAAAAAACGCGAAATCGCGAATGTAATCGCATCTGAATGGGAGCACATTTCGCCAGAGGTTGGACGAAAACATCACGTTTCCAGCATGAGTTTGTTTGCGTTTGAGTTGAGCCAGACACAAGAGAATCTATACCAGCGACTACCACAGCGCCTAAGAAAAGCACGATTCGTGAGGAAGAAAGCAAGACAAGAACAGCAAGTGTCATTTGCAGCTGCTGCGCTACGAAAAACGGAAGAGTTCTCAGACAGGCCTTCGCGACGCTTCGCGTTGCTTAAGTCAATAACGTGCGAGCGTGTCACCCTTATCCCCTATAATCAGGACGAGGCAGGGCAAAGGCGCTTGCGAGCGCGGCGACGCAGAGGGAGCAACAGCAGGCGAAGAAGCGATTCGGGGAGTGGAGGCGACGGCAGGAGAAGGAGCAGAAGGAGCGAAAAGAATATGAGTGGAGTGCGGGAGGAGGAGGGAGGACGGGGCTCTCCGAGAGTAGCGTTGCGAAAGGGTTGGCAGCGAAGGGGAAGCGGCCTCGAGGCTGAAGCGACAGGTTTCTGTTCGGATAAGGCCTTCGGCGATGGTGATGGCGATGGCGATGGTGATGGTGATGGTGATGGCGATGGCGATGGTGATGGTGATGCATCCCGAAAAAGGCGTGGTCCGTCGGGCATGGTTTTTTTAGGGTTCCGAAATGATACCTCTGTAATACTTACGGTTCAGTTACGAGAGAGTTCATTTTGCGATGTGCGCTTCGGGAAAGTTGCCCAGAGTTACCTGGTTCGTTTGGGCGCCAAATGCTCGCACCTGTGATTGGCTGTCGTTTCATAGTTACGGAAGGGTAAGATTTCGCGTCGGATTTGTCCAGCTCTCGCTTTGACTGGATGGTTCGTTGATGTTATTGATTCAAATTCAATAATTGTATAGGGACCATTGAACAGAACAACTAAAAAAATGTACTTTCGTTATTGATTGAAACTGTCATTTGCATTTTTCTGAACAAAATTAGGACGCTAATAGAAATGACATATATGCTTAAATAGGACAATATGGAGTGCAATTGAATGTTAGAATATTAACAAACTTAGTGTTCGGATGGTGAAAACAACAGTTTGCGTAATTTTCCAAAATGATGTATTGCAAGCATATATGCTATTTTCGTTCTTCGTTTCCTACCAGTAGATACATTAATGTTTTGTTACCTTACCACCTTAGTTTCAACAATTGTCTAGTGGTGTTTTAGGGTGCAGTGAAAATTGATGTGCTCCATATTTTTCTTGGTGATGTTTCGTATTTACATATACGATCTTACACGTGGTTCTTATATATAGTTCTTACATAAACATTAACTCGCCTAAGTCAGCGTCAACGTCGGCCAACGGCGATGAATGGAGCATTGGTGCGTCGTCATTGTTTTCATTGCTTGTGAGAAGAAACAAGGAATGAATGAACTATGAATGAATTGGGTACAAGTACTAACCCTAATTGGGTTGTACCCCTTATGGGCTACCCCACTATAGCCTACACAATATGCATGAGCTATAAAGTTCTGACACACCCCCATAGGCAAAGTGGGGGAGAACAAGGGGTCACAAGACCAGTCAAGCAAAGCAAAGCAAAGCAAGCTCAGGGTGGATCACAAAGTCACCACACATTCCGAGCACAAGTTCAAGGCCACAAGGCCAGTTCACATGCAGGAGTACATATATATAAAAAGACTAGACAAGCAAGAGCAGGTATATATATACGTAACAGTACAAGCAAGGTCGAGAGGTGAGCAAGTGAGGCAAGGTAGGCACAAGGCCCAGCTGAGTACAGAAGCGCTGATGGTCACAAGGC